TTCCTGCCCTGAGGTAGCTCATAAACAGAAGAGCGGCAGACACAGGAGAGAAACTCCAAGCTGAGCAGAATGCAAAACCGGCATGCTGGAATACAAGAACGTGCAAAGATCCGCCCTCAGTCACCACAGTCATCTGAAACTGCTGTCACAGCCTGTATGCGGAGTCCAGCGTGAGAGCCCAAGTCCTGCAATTAGCCTAAGAGGAGGGAGACACTTGCTGCTGCAAGCCTGGGAGGGCTTGACCTGAAGCCCAGATCTAGCCACTTCTACTTGCCCCTGTAAAGATACTTTTGTGCTGAGGTAGGTCAGAGAAGCCAGAGTTGCATCACTCTGGATCTTCCACTTGGTATATGTCGGGAAGCAGTGGAAATGGCATGGTCTTTCTGCGGTGGCTCAAGAACAGAGTGTGTTTAGGGAGCTGAGGAAGTGACAGCGTGGGAAGACCACTTTTGAACATGCTTGCTGCCAGCTTTTGCGGCCCAGTCAGGGTGTGACTCCAGTGAAAGCTTTGTGTCCATTTCCCTCAGGGAATGCTTTATTGCCCTTTCCTGGGTTGAGTGTGTAGGTTAGCCTGGTGTCTAAGAGCAGAGAGCTCATCCCATTAGGTGTCTTTCTTACAGCTCCTCCTGGAGGCTGTTCCTCCAGAGTGTCTTGTTAATACCTGATTCCCGGACCAAGGGTGCCCATCCCGTGTCCTGCACACTGGGATAACAGCTACATTATGAAAGCATGTGAGCATGTGTTCCCGATCAGGGGCCAGGGCTTGAGCCCAGTGGAGATGTGGGAATTTTATGGTACAATTAGAGTGATCTCTTCAGGGGCCAGAGAGTTGTCTTAACAACCATTTACTGTTCTTACAGAGGACCTGAGTTCAGTTCTCAGCACCCACAAGGCATCTGTAATAACACAACCATCTGTGACTCCAGTTGAAGGGATCTGGCACCCTCTTCTGGCCTCCTCAGGGCTCCTGAATGTACACACAAAGCTCACTCAACATACATAAAACAAATGTTTTATGTACACATAAAACAAATCTTAGAGAACGGTCTTTTAGAGAACCCTGAGTTGTAGGTAAGTTGTCCATTGAGAAATTATAACACAGAGAGCCAGCCCTCAAGATGGCTCGGCACGCCCTTGGCTCCCACCTGGGTTCACAGGCTGGGTGCTGCAGTGGAAAGGTCTAGATCCAGAACAAATCAAGATGCCTGATCAAGCTGCTTGTCCCCACTCCGCTTACATGCACAGGGCCACCATATTTCAGGAAAAGCCTAGTTGTGTAATCTTGAGTACACCCCCCCCCCCTTGAGACAATGTCTCACTATGTAGCCCAGCCTGTTGTCAAGGTTGAGATCCTTTTGCCTCAGCCTCCTGAATAGGAGGGTTACGGAAGTGTTTCTCCTGACTGGTAGATAGCTTCTAAAAACAAAGACGACTGAACAGTGCACCCCAGGGTCTTAGAAAGCAAGAAGAAGCCAAACTCCAAACCAGAAGATAGAAGGTGATAAAAAAGAGACGAAAATTAAAAAAAAAAAATAAAAGGAAACAGTTCTTTTAAAAAATTTGTCAAGGTTATTTATGTGTGAATGTTTTGCCTGCATGTACATGTACCACATGTGTGCCTGGTACCACCAGAGGTCAAAAGAGGGCACTGGATCCCCTGGAACTAGAGTTACAGGTGACTGTGGGGCACTGTGTGGTGCTGGGAACTGAACCCTCATCCTCTGCAAGAGAGCAACAATCGCTCTGAGCCACTGAGTCATCTCCCTGCCCTAAGAGTTCTTTGAAAAGACAGACAACGTTTAGCCAAATTCACCAAAGGTGGGGGAAAAAAGCAGACCAATATTAAGGAAGTTAGAGCCAGGAATAGTGGCACACACTTGTAATCTCGGCACTCTAGAGGCAGAGACAGTATTTCTGTGAGTTCCAGGCTAGCCTGGGGTCAGACTGGGATACAGAGTAAGACATTGTCTCAAAAAAGAACAAACAAAAAGTTAGAGATGAAAGGCATAGGATGTGGGGTGTTGTTGTTCCAACAGATAGTAATGGCATCTAGGATCATTAGGGAGTGTGTTGAAGCCTGTGTTCCAAAAAGATGGAATGCATAAATTTCTGGGGACATATGACTCACCAAACAAATTAAGAATTAGATCAAACTTTTTTAATCTTGATTTTTCCCCCATTGGGGCAATTAAGAATACAATGTTCCCTTTAGCCTTTTGTCACAAGTAGCTGAATTAAGCACTCTGCAAACAGAAGCTCCAGCTGGGCTGTTGATGCACACCTGTAATCCCAGCACTCTGGGGAGACAGAGGCAGGTGGATCTCTGTGAGTTCAAGGCCAGCCTGGTCGACAAAGCAAGTCCGGGACAGCCAAGGCTACACAGAGAAATCCTATCTCAAAAAACAAAAACAGCAGCTCCACACCTCTTTAGGACGCCTGGATTTCCACCCTGGCCTCATTTGATTGCTAAGACTTGGCAATCCTGGCCAAGCATGGTAATACGGGTCTGTAGCACTCTAGAAGTGGAGGCAGGAGGGTGACAAAATTGAGACCAGCTGAGCTACATAACAAGATCCTGTCTCACAGGAGAAAGAGAGAGAGAGAGAGAGAGAAGAAGAAGAAGAAGAAGAAGAAGAAGAAGAAGAAGAAGAAGAAGATAAAGAAAATGCTGAGGCAGCCTTGGCTTGTTTTGTCTTCCCCAGAACTCTTAGTGTGCATTCACTGGGCAAGACAACACATGGAAATGGAAAACTTTGCCCATGCCCGACCTGGCAGCATCTGTGCTGTTTGACAAGGGGAAGAGAATCACTGAATGTCTCATTGCTTGCCTCTTACAGTTTTTCTACCCAGCGTTATCTGTTGTTAGCTGTGGACTATCCAGATTGTCCTGCATGCAGGTGAAATAAGCAGAGATTGGTTCCTCTCTGCCACTGAAGAAACCTATCTCTGTTCCTTTGATTGCAGAATGTTTTCCAGGAGCCCCTGGGCTCGCTTAGCCATCCCCCTTAAAAAAATTCTCATGAATGGTTCTACCCATGCCATGGCTCACAAGCTCACCCTTGGTCTTTACCTGCTTCAGGACAGCAAGGATGAATTTGCTAAAAAGAAGAGGGTGAGGAGCCATGCCTGAGAGGAAGTTTCCAGTACGATACCTTGAATCCTGCTCCTGCCACACATGATGTCAGAGTCTGTCCCCTAGTGACTACCACCGCAGCTGGCTCCCTGGCTACTGCTCCATCAGGAAGGCAGCACCGAAGCCACAAGACCATTTGCAGCAAGTCAGGTGCCTTAAACTGCTACCTTGTTTCTCGCCTGCAACGGAAGGTCCTATCGTGCTCCCAGAAACACAATACCACAGGCTCTTCTTGGTGCAAGTTTTGTTTGTTTGTTTCTTTTTGTTTCCTGTTGTATCTAAGAAGAGCAGGACTCCTAAAGTAAGGAAGGTGTCCAGACATCAGGATTATAAACTTGAGCACCTGCGAGGGACTGGAGGCGAATGCTAGGCATTCACAAAGCTCTGGGTTTGATCCTCGGAAGACAGAAACAAGTCTTACAGACCACAGGGAAGAAAAGCCGGTGAGGTAAGACCTTGAGATGAGGACGGCGAGGTCTTTGAAGGACGCCCTTTCGGGCATTCAGATCCAATAACTTTAAAACATTAAGCAAATAGTGGAGAGTGAGGGGAGTGATTGTGGGTTGACTGGAGAAGGGCGCAAGGCCCGGAAGGAGCTAAATCTTGTTTGGGGTAGCGGTCACGTGGTGCATGCATTCATCAAATGAGCCCTTGTATATCAAATACACAAGTATACTAAGCACTCAGGGCAAATTCATAGTCTGAGCAAACCGATTTGGCTCTCAGATTACCCACTTATTTGTGCTCTCTGTTGCAATTTCACTCAGAGAGGTCACAGGTCCTGGGGAGGAAAGTGGTTTCACTAAGGACACGGGTCAGTCAAGACTGCCAGTGGCTTTTCAACCTAGAAGAGACTAAAGAAAGGAGTGGCGGAGGTGCGGGGGGGGGGGGGGGGGGCGCCTCCAGTAGGCAAACAAACCCTTCGCTTTTGGAGTGTCTTTCCACCAGCAGAGAAGGAGGCGAGGCAGTCCCCACCCCCACCCCCGGGCCTGGCTAGCAAGTGAGGAGGTCAACAAAAGTGTACACCGAGAGCAGAGCGCGGAAGTGGATAGAGCCTGTAGCCCTAGGGAGCAGAGGAGGCGCACAGATAAATCACGAACACAAACTGTACTGGCAGTTTGAGATTGACACCGAGTGCCAGATGCCAACACAGACTGCCAAGCGCCAGGAAAGGAAATCCAATCTGGTCCGGGCAGACTTGGTGGCGCAAAGCGAAACCCACCTGCGGGAACACGGGGAGAGAGAGGGGCGTGAACCTCGCCGGAACCTCTTTTCGAGGCCGGTCCCTGGACACTTACCGAAGTGTTAGTTGGCCATCGGCCCGCCCCAAGAGGCAAGAGCGTCTCGGCTTTACGGGTGGAAAAGGACACGGTCCGGCAGCTTGCCTGGCCATTGAAAGCTTGAGTCGGACTCGCAAACCCAGTTCTCTAACTCCACGCCCACGCCCGGAGGCGAGCAGGTGTCCGCAGAGCGACTCCTGCCCATCACCAACCACACCTGGCTGGCGTTTTGATGTAGGCGCGACCGACCGTCCGTAAGGAACTGGGAGGAGTGTTGGGTGCCTGGGCGGGGGGTGGGGGGTGGCCAAATCCCCGGCGACAGGCTGGGACCCTGCGGACTCCCTGAGCCAGGCCCTGCCCGGGCAAGCCGACGCCAGCCCTGATTGGCGCTCGCGGCCGGCCTTGAGCGGCTCACCTGCCGTTCCCAGCCAATCCAGGCCACCAGAATTGAGGCTGCCCGCGCGGGAGGAGGGGGGCCGGGGGGGGGGGGGGGGGGGGGGGGGGGGGGTGGCTGATGATGCGAGCCTGCGGCGGAGCTGCCCTCCCCCGCCCCGGAGTTCCCTCCCGGCCCCGCGGTGCTCCGGAGCTTCGCCCCAGCCGCCGGTTGCGCTTCCCGCGCCTCTCTCCACTCGGCTGGCTGCGACGCGCCCCGACGGCGGCGCCCACCGCTTCCCGCCGTCCTCCCTCCCTGTCCCTTCCCGTCCCACGAAGGGGGTGGGCTCGGCCGGGACAGCGCCTCCTCCGAGACACGATGTTCGCATCCAAGTCCAACTCCGTGTCGCCATCGCCGTCCCTGGAGCAGGCCGACGCGGACGCGCTGGACATCAGCACTAAAGTGCAGCTCTACGGGGTTCTGTGGAAGCGGCCGTTCGCGAGGTCGTCCGCCAAGTGGTCCCGGCGGTGAGTGAGTCCCCGTTTCCCGTGAGGGAGCCCGGGGCCTCAGGACCCCTCCCACTCTCCTAGTCACCGCCCCGCTTCAGCCTTCAACGGCGACCCTGGCCCGCCCAGCCAGTTTCTCTCCACGTTGTCCCCAACCTGCAAGATGCGACTTTAATTGGTCGCAGCCGGAGCTAGAATGGAATCACCGGCCAGCAGGTGCCGGGAAGTCTCTGTGGGGGGAGAACTGAGTTCCGAGTCCCAAGTGTAAGGCTTCATGAGGGATAGAGACTGAGGTTGAGTTGGGCCAGACTCCGCAGAAAGAGAGGCCCTGTGTCCAAGCAGGGATTCTCCAGAGACCTCCACAGCCAATTCCATCCCTTCCTCGAGGCTTTCGATGGAGACAGGCTCCACTCTCCTCTCTCCATCCACCCACCCTCAGCCTTTCACAGCATTTGAGCAAGGCCGACCCCTAGCCGTTCAGAAACACTCAGGAGAGAGAGAACCGCAAGAAGCTGGGTTGCCAACCCCTCCAGCTGCGCCTTCTGGTGATATATGTGTATCACTAAGGATGGAACGGGGGGGGGGGGGGGGGGGGGGGGGGGGGCCGGCCGGGGGGGGGGGGGGGGGGGGGGGGGGGTAGGTTGGTCCTGCCCAAAGGATTGATGTTTGAGGAGTGTTGGGGAGAGCCAGAGCCAGAGCAACCCTGGCCCCATTCTCAGCACCAGGCTCTCCACTCTCCGTTCCCAACTCCAAATCAAGGTCCCAGAGGCCAACAGGGCTCTCTATGTACACATGTCCATGACAGGTGTTGGGAGAAGAGGAATTCCCAGACCGGGGCTTGCAGGAGCCTCACGAAACTGGTCACAGGTCAGTGGGTCATTTTCAGTCCAGCTCTCTTCAAGACAACTAAGATTTCCTGCTGGTGTCTAGAAGACTCAGACTTTGTCCTGGCCCCTTCCTGGCAGGTCTGACTGCTCTTCCCATCCCACGCCAGGAGTCTGAATGCCTTAGATGTTCTCAAGACCGCAGGTCACGTGCATGTCGTATTGGTTAGTTCTGATGCTCAATTTTGGTGAATAATTTATATTCCGCTGGTAAGACCTCAGAACAAATGGAGATGTGGATGGGGACTGCGCGTTTTACACAGCCGATTTCGTACACTTTTATTACTTCTGCCTGATTTCTCTCGGGGATTTAATGGGATACAGGCCCCCCTGGGTCCCTCCCAAGTTTTTCTCTGATGCTTTAAGTGAAGGCCCTGAGCGCTGTGGAGGTTATGTGAGAGGCTGCACTGTCTGAACTGCAGCCATTGAGGGCCAGGAGTATCCTGTCATTGCTGTGGTGCTTGGGGGGAGGAGGGGCTATTATAGGCTATGGCAGAATATCCTGAGAGAAGGCAGGCAGTCTTCCCTCTCCATCAGGTCTGACTGTCCCAGGAATTCCTCTGTGTCTTCTTTTAAGACTTCCTGGCCGGCATTTTCAGCTGATTGCATCTAGTATGTGTTAGGTGGCTTGGACCCTGGGCTGAGTCTCCTGGCTCCCTTTTTTGCTGTGGGTACAGGCTCCTGAAAACACAATTGATTTGGGGCTGATAGCTCTGGGCACTTGGGGTTGGGGCTCTGAGAGTCTCCATCAGCAGTCCCCACAGCCACCCAAACCAAACCAGTCCAAGTCAAAACAGTATATCTGTGCCAAGTCAGTTCTGTGCTTTGAAAGGGACTGTCACCTCTGACCCCTTCAGGAGCTGTCCCTGTACAAACACTCTCCCTCCTCTGCGTCTCAGAAAATAGTTAACATCTTATCTGCCAGCTCTAGACCTTTGTGTATGTTCCCTCCTCTGAGAGAATGCCTCCCCATCCTCCACCCCCAGCACACATGATTTTCCCTTGAGTCAGCAACAGCCAGTCAGAAAGTCAGAGAGTCCAGAGGAGGCGTGATGCTCAGCCCAGCCTCACCCAGTAGGGCCTCTGGGCCGCATTTTCCCATTTGTGAGGGGCAGTGGCTGGACCCCAGCTAATTAGCAACCACAGGAAGGCTTGGGACAGGGCGGCCAATAGCCACCCGCTGCTGCAGAGCCTTGCCATTAGGGGAATCGATGCTCTAGCGGGCAGCTGAGGGGAAGAGGCCTGGAAAGGCTCCATGCTGCATAAATAACCACTGGGCAGGATGGAACCGGCTGTGGCTGGCTGAGCTCTTCTCCTCAGGCTCTGTCTTATGAGGAGCTTCCAGGACCCCACCACCACTACCACCTGCACCTCCACCTTGGCCAAACAGCAGTGGGAATTTGTCCTCATGGTTAGTTTACTCTCCTGTGGGCACAAGGAGGGAAGGGAATCAGAAGTGTTCATCAACAGAGAAAAGAATTCTAGAGGGGTCTGAGGGTAAACTGATCACAGTCCTCTTCTTCCTCTGGGAGGAGCATAAAGGCAAATGCAAAAACCTGGGTGGCTTTGGGGTGGTGGTGGTGCACACCTTTAAACCACTACCCAGGAGGCAGAGGCATGCAGATCTCTGAGTTTGAAACCAGCCTGGTCTACAGAGTGAGTTCCAGGACAGCCAGGGATATACAGAGCAACCATGTCTTGAAAAACAAAAAACAAAAACAAAACAAACAAACAAAAAACCTGAGTGGCTCTGAACAGGAGGAGGCATGGCCTTGGCTTTGGCCAGGGTCAGCAAGGGGTAGGTAGATGGGATTGCCCTTCTGAGACCACCAATGAGCCATCCAGGACTCAGCTCACTCTGTTCTCTCTCTGGGAACCCATACTCTCCACACCCATCCATCCATAGGTAGGTTCCCGCAGCCCTCTTGAGAGTGAGATAACTTTGGCTCCAAGATCAAATCCCATCGAAGTTCAAATCCTGCATCTTGTCCCCACTAATCCCCAGGTGTCCTGCTGCCGAGCGTTGTGTAACTTAGGTGGAACTTGGCTCATCCCTCAGTCTCCTTACCCCCAACCCAGCCTTCTCTAGTCTCTCACACATGGTCTTTTCGGGCAGAGTAAGCTCCACTTAAGGGAAAGCGTGACAACATAGAGGCTTAGGGACATCTCATCTCTTGGAAGGGCGAGTTCCTTCAGATGGACTCTTTGCTCTGTTTTCTGAAGCCTGTTTTATTTAACACTGTTTTTTTTTTTCTTCCAGTTTTTGTATTCTGATTTTTTTAGGTTTAGTTTCTTTTCTAAAATTCACATCTCTGTGTGTGTGCCTGCTTGTTTGCATGTATGCCATGTGCATGTAACGCCACGTCCTTGGTCCAAACTCATACATGCTCCTGAGTCCCTTTCTCCACTGCACTTACCCATCATGCCTCTTCCTTTCTGCCCTACAGGATGTCCTCAACTTCAAAGTTCTCTCCCCCTGGTCTACACCCCCGAACACTGAAGAGCTCAGCAGACGGAACCGCTGCTGGTGGCTCTGTTTGTTGAGATTTTGCTTATTTTTATTTTATGTATATAGGTGTTCTGCCTGTATATCATTTGCAAGCAGTGGGGACTGGATTGCCCAGATCTGGAGTTACAGATGGTAGTGAGTGACATGCGGGTGCTGGGAACTGAACCCAGTTCTTCTGGAAGAGTAGCCAGTACCCTTTACCACTGAGCCATCTTTTCAGACCCAGGCTGGTCCTTCTTTAACAAGACCTGCCTGGTGTATATTGCATCTGTGCTTTGAAGATTTTCCTCTGCCTCCCCTGGGTGTCTCATGCGACCAGAGTTTACCATTAAGCCCTGGCTGGGACCTTATTATACTCAGAGCACAGGGCGGAGGGAAGCCGCAATACAAAAAGCCTACCCGTGTCCATCCTGACACTCAGGCCAAAATTCAAGCCATGGTGTCATGAGATTAAGGTCACCCTGACCTGGTCTAACTATTCAGCATGCCCTGCTGATTTTTACCTTTTGCTAACTGGGGTTCACTGTTTGCCCAGCTGGCAACCTCCTCAAGGCTACCCCTCTTATTCTAAAACCACAGGTTGGGCTCTGGATACTTGTTTGATATCTGTGCAAGGTGGGCGTGGGGAGACTCTCAGCTCCTGTTCACAGACTCATGCTCTCTCCTGCCTCCATACCCTGGCCACGCCTTTAGTGCTTATCTTCGAGTAACACCAGACATATTTTGATAACCTTGAGCACATGAGCACACTGTTCTCTACATATGTTTTTCTCTAACTGGCGACATCTCTTCTCCCTCTTCCCAGGCTAAGACATATCCCCCCCCCCCCCAGACAAGGTTTCTCTGTGTAGCCTTGGCTGTCCTGGACTCCCTTTGTAGACCAGGCTGGCCTCGAACTCACAGAGATCCGCCTGCCCATGCCTCACTGAGTGCTGGGATTACAGGCGTGTGCCACCATGCCTGGCTGCATTGCTTATTCTTTCAAACCCTGAGCAGTTGTGACCTCCTCTCAGAACTTGGTCAGACCCTAGGCCATTCATCTCGTCTGTGGCCACAATTCTGTTATTCACACAAACTTACCTTGTTGCCATGTAGCCAGTTACTTTGTCGCCACTGTGTATCCGCCAGGCACTGTAACATTGCCGAGCACTCTGCTATGTTATAATGTCTCAGTAATGTGTTCTGGTGCTTCACAGCATCTTCCGGGTGCTTTCCATGTTGCTGTGTGTCCCTGGGGCCTGACAGTGTCACCCTCTCTCCTAGCGCTTTACATTTTTAGCTTCCCCATCTCCCTGCTGTGTCATCTGGGGCATATTATTTCAATTCTCTGCATTCCACTTTCCTCGCCTACTTTAGATAAGCAGTGAATGCATTACTACACAAATTGCTATTGCTCAAACAGGCCTGGTACAAAGAAGGGACTTGATAAACATTAGCTATTTTAAAATTATTTCTTTGCACAGGCTCTCTCCTACATTTATCTCTTAAGCTCCCTGAGGGCAGGGACTCCTCAAGCTGGCATGGCTCAGCACAGGACCTGACTAGGCCAAGTCGCTGCCTCCTTGACAGCTCTCTTACCTGAGCCAAGTGGGAACTGCAGCCATTCTCCGGCGTACAGCTCAAGGGAGACAGACATTGGGAAACAGAGCTGAGGACAGCTAGCAATAAGCACGCAGGCAGCTGAAAATCTGGGCATCATTAGAAAGAGTTCACCATTTGCTAATTGCTCAATCTCCCTGTGGTTCAGTTTCCTTACCAGTGTACTAAGAAAAAATGAGACAAACAAACAAACAACAACAACAACAAAACCATCCATCACTTAAGTAAGTCATCACTTAAATTAGTCATTTAAATATGGTAGCGTTAATAGTCAAAGTATAGCGGGTGTCGTGGTGCATGCCTTTAATCCCAGCAGGTGGATCTTTGTGAGTTCAGGGCCAGCCTGGTTTACAAAGCAAGTTCTAGGACAGCCAGGCTGTTACACAGAGAAAGCCTGTCTCAAAGAACTAACTAACTAAAAACAAACAAAACACAAAAACAAAAACCCACTATATATAGCAAAGGGCATACCTTGCTGCCATCTGAATGTTCTTTAGGTGGAAATACCAGAGCGGGAGGATGTGGCTCGTAGGTAAGGCTGCTTGTCTAGCATGCATGAAGCCCTAAGTTCAATTGTCAGCACTCCATAAACCTGGCGTGGTGACTTATGCTTATCATCTCTGCACTCAGGAGGTGCAGGCAGAAAGGTCAGAGGTTCAAGATCAGCATCAGCTGTATAGGGAGTTTATAGGCCACCTGAGGCACTACCTTAAAATACTAAATTAATAATAATAATAATAATAATAATAATAATAATAATAATACCAGAGAAAGGAGTGGAGGCAGCCAGTACTGGTATGAAATGTTTACCTTGCACTTACTCCAGGCTCCATGATCCAGGAGGGCTAAAAGCAAAAGCTGACAGTAAAGCTTCTCCAAGGACAGATGCTGTCCCTAGACAGGAGGACGTGGCTGGGACATGTGTTTAGAAGGCAGGAAGCCACCAGGTGGGCTGCAGCTGTGTTCTCTTCAGTAGCTGCTGTGTGAGCACAAATGGGAAGCCGGGCAGGGTGGCTACAGAGATGCTGACCTTGACAGTAAGGAGTAACAGTAACCGGGATAATAATGAACATTTCCTGCGTGTTCACTAGGAGCTAAGTCTTTATGTGATCAGACCCTTTCCCTCCCAGGCATGAGAAGAAAAGGCCATTAACCATCATCCTCAAGTTTCACACAAGGGGCCTGAGGCCTCAGAATACCTTGCCCCAACACTGCTCTTCAGTATGTCTCTCCAACCTTAGCCATTACAACTTGTGCCTCTACCCTGGCTGTGTGTCTTGAGCCAGGACAGCAGCCCCGTGAGCCATAGAGGGAGCAGGAGGAGGGCCTGGTGGTCCTGGGTTCCAATCCTCCTCCTGCAGTTATAAATTAACTTCCTCTCTAAGCCTGTCTTTCCTCACCTGAGAAAGAAAGGGAGCGAAAGGCCCCGCCTCCAGCGTTGTTCTGAGGAGCAGGTTGTCTCATCCCCACATAACTTGCCTCCCAGAAGCTCACACATGAAAATGGTGCCTGTGACCGGCCCTTGCACTCACTGCCAGCTCAACTCTGCAGGACCCAAAGGAGGTTGTCCCAGCCTTGCATACCGAACATGCAGCATCTAGAACATGGGGACTTTGGAGGAAGGTCCGAGAAAAGGAGTGCCTTTCTATGCAGTCTTACATAGACTGGCAAGGGCCCCAGCAGCCGAGTAGAAGCTAAAAGGCATCGGCAAAAGCAGCTACTACCAAGGCGGCTTGATAAGCAAAGGTCTTGTCAGACAAACCATGGTGGGTAGGGGCTCACCCTCCACCTCCAGGTCTGTACCAGGTATGGCTCACGTGGCAGTCCGTGGTGCTCCTCAGCCTGCTGAGAGTGTGGCCGCCATGGAACAAAGGCTTCTGGGAGTGTCTCGTCTGCCTTTCTGGGCTTGCGTTAGGAGGGGAGGACATCGGGGGACTCTCCATGCCTCTACCCACCCTACCCATCTCTTACCCCCCAGATGTGTGGCGACAGCTTTTAGCAGCTTCCCCTGCCCGTGCCAGGACAATCGGCTTCCCATGCAGCAGCCAGGGCTAGCCTTTTACAATGTAAGTCAGGTGGCGTCACCCCCGCCCACAGCCCTCCCATGGCCCTCTTACTCTAAACCACCAAGTGGTTTCAGCAGTTCATGCCACCTCTCCCTCCATTTCTCCTCAGAGAGCGCACAGGAGTACCTGCCTGGGAGAGTAACAAGGGCGTTAAATGCAGTAACAGAAGCAACTGCGTGGACTCGGGGTGGGCTGGGGTGGTGAGGGCTCAGTGAACGTGAGCGCTGCCATTTATTGCTCTCACAGCGCCCCTGCAGCCTAGGGGTTATGCTCCCACTTCCTCCACTTCAGCCTTCCGGTTCCTTTTAGAACCAACCCAGGACCTTGGTGCCCCTGGGCCCTGTGTCTGAGGTACCTTGCTTCAAATATTCCCTTCTCTTGCTCTTTTTGATATAGGGGCCTCTATGTAGCTCAGGCTGACCTCAGACTCGTAGCCCTTGTATCTCAGCCTCTGGCATGCTGGGATTAGAGGCATGTGCCGCTAGCAATTCCTCCTGCCCCCCCCTCTTTTTAAGATAGTCTCATATGGTGAGGGCTGGCTTTGAACTCACTGCGTAGCTGAGGATGACTTTGAACTTCTTATTCTCTTGTTTTTACTTCCTGTTTGGGGTTATAGGTGTGTGCTACAATGCCTAGTTTTTATGGTGTTAAGAGACTGCTTTGTGCGTGCTAGGGCAGCACGCTACCAACAAGTACCCCCCACCCGCCAACCCCGGGTTCCTCTTTATAAAAGCCACAGCTCCATTAGATCATGCTCCTGCCTAATTATTAGCTCACCGAACCATAGTGACCTCCTAAAAATCCTGGGTCCGGATACAGTCCCTCTGCAGGTAGGGACATATGTAGGGGTTCGTGAGGCTCTGTCGTGGGGGCGGGGAGGCAGCTCTGTTCTGCTTGCCTGTCTTTCCTGCTGAGGGACCTTACCAGACCATGTGACATCCAAGCCCATCCTGGGTCCTTCACACCCAGGCTAGGTTATCCCTACGGTCTCACTCAGTCCGCAGGGCCACCTCTTAATGTAGGTGCCATCACTTCTGTGCTACAAAGAGACTGAAGCTCAGGGAGCTGAGTGTCCGTGAGTTCAAGACCAGCCTGAGCAACATAGCAAGACACACCTCCCCAGCCCATCTCAAAAGAGAGGCGGGGCGGTAAAAGACAAAGCTGAGCTTCATTTCCTTCGGGAGAAGGAGGAGTGGCTGCAGCCATCCAGGCTGCCCCTCCACTCTGTCCCAGAGCAGCCGTGGTGGCAGGGAAGGAAGATCATGCAGCTGGGAGACCTGCAGGGTTCCTCTGACTTCTTGCTGCCACCAACATCTTTGCAAGCTCCTCCCAAGCAGGACCAAGGAGCGGTTTAATAACAGGCTCTTGGGGTGGTTCTGCAGTTTTGGTTGTCATGGTATGGTGCAAATGCTCTTGCCGCCAGTGTGGTTTCACCGAGTGCTAAGCAGGTGAGTGAGTCACACTGTGGGCCATTGTGGGCAGCACGTGGCTGCTCCAAAGGTGCCCCCGGACACACCACTCAAGAACTCCAGATCCCTCCAACACCTTTTCAGGTCACCTCACAGCAGTGTCCCTGGAGGAGGAAGAACTCTAGTGGCTTTGAGCCTCAGGGGCCTGATTGGGCTCCCCCTGGAGCACACTTGGTTTTTTTTAAAGCTTCAGCTGCTAGTTCTGTAAGAGTTCCCCAGGCAGGACATGGAGTCTACCTGTTGGCATAGAGACTTGCCTCCCAGGACCCAGAAAGTACCATGGCCACTTGGATCCCAACTTAGACTTGAGCCCCAGAAAGGAAGTCTGAGACAAACAAGAATGCAGGTATCACCAGGGGGTATCAGGACGGCAGACCTCAGCAGTTGACATCAATTCCATCTGGTTTCACCAAAATGCCCATCTGGAATCAATCTGTCGCCTCCTCCGTCCACACCTGGAAGAGCTCCCAAGTGACCTTGCCCTTGGAGCTGATAGTTCAGAGGATAAAGGGACCAGAGGAGAAAGACAACAGGCTCCTGCTGTGCTGAAGAGGGCAGTCTGAGAAGCCAATCACGATCAAGGGCCCTGTCCTCCACTACCTGCACAGGAGGCCCCCTGAGACCTCTAGCATGCAGTGTGAGCTGGTGTCCCCAGGGGCCCCCCAGGGTGCTGCTGACCCGCCAGGTCTCACCATTTTTTCACGCCTCCTCCACAGGTTCTTCATCATCAAAGAGAGCTTTCTGCTTTACTACTCTGAGAGTGAGAAAAAGAACTTTGAAACCAATAAATACTTCAATATACATCCTAAGGTGAGGAAGCTCCTTTTCAGGACCACAGCAAGGGAGGGCCCTCTGGGGACATTTGGGGATGGTAGGGAACTCTTGGAGAACAACAGGTCCTCTCAGGACTCAAGACACCTTTTCCAGCCTCCCTCCACCTGCTGAGTCCTTCCCTCCACAAGCACACACATTTCCTGAGTTGCAGAACCTGCCCCAGCTCTTATTCTTCTTTCCGGAAGTCAGTCCTAGCCTTAGTGGCATAATCCTGGGATGTGTTCCAGCCTGAGGCCCTTGGCAAAGCCCTTGGCTTGCTCCAGAAGGCTCTTGGGACTCTTAAGTGATGTGAGCTGGATAGGGTGGGAGCTGCCTACTCTGCTTTCTTCCTCAGGGTGTCATCCCCCTAGGCGGCTGCCTGGTGGAGGCCAGAGAAGAGCCCAGCATGCCCTATGCCATGAAGATCTCCCATCAGGACTTCCATGTGCGTGGGGACCCTCCCCTAGCCTCTGGGAACAGCCCTGTGACGTCTAGCCTGAGAGAGCCACCAAGGCCCAGGCCTGTGGAGGGTGGGGTGGGAGGAGAAGAAATCGCCTACTCTTCCTTTGGATGGGTACCACTCATTCTGGCTCCTCTTCCCTGCAGGGGAATGTCTTGTTGGCTGCTGAGTCTGAGTTTGAGCAGACACAATGGCTTGAGATGCTGCAGGAGTCTGGGAAGGTGTAAGTGTCTGCCAGCAGGGCATCTGAGGGACCAGGATGAAGGGGGGGAGGCCAGCATGGGCTAGGCTGGGCCTGCCCACCTGCTTCTCTGCTGGGCAGGGCTGTGGGAGGAGACAACTCAGGCTGTTGAGCATCTGTGAGGGTCCCCGGAGTGGTGAGTTTGGGAAGGTGTCTGCAGTGACAGGTGGGCAGGCGCGGGCAGCGTTTACCTCCAATTCTTGGGAGTGGGTGGAGGACCTCAGTACCTCTTTCCCTCCCCAGACCTGCACTTAGCCTTAGCAAGGTCCAGAGATGTTGTTTACAAATCACAGTGCGGGTCACAGAAACCACCTGACCCACACAACCTGTGCCCCCCCCCCTCAAGCCAGGACATACTTCTAACCCAACCAATAATGCAGCGTACCCAGACTTGCACCTGGGTGGAAGGCATGCCGTGATGTAGAAGGCTGCTAGGGAGGCAGTCCCTTCCCTCCTCTCTGAGTGCTCTTGGCTCTGTCCCCGTGGCCCACTTTGCAACCTCAGCCTCCAGTTACTGTAACTGATCAATGCTGGTGGCGTGCCCAGAGCACTGGGTGCCAGAGGGAGCTGAGATTCTGCAGAGCGGAGGACAAGGCTCACGCAGCAAATGTGCACTCTCCTTCTCGCCCAGGCCTCCCTCCTGGTTTAACTGTTCATATTTCTCACCTCCTCTCCACTCTCCTCTCTGCCTTTTCCTCCCCAGGACGTGGAAAAATGCCCAGCTAGGAGAAGCTATGATCAAAAGCCTGGAAGCGCAGGGCCTACAGCTGGCCAAGGAGAAGCAGGAATATTTAGGTTGGTGACAGGGGTGAGCTAGAACCCGGAGTTTTCTGATGTGGCATGTGGGGACCTGAGTGACAGCCAGGGAGGGACCTGGTGAAAATGGAATGGGGGAGGGGTGTCTCTCTGGGACTCTGAAGGACGCTTGGCACCATAAAGCTTTATGTTGTGATAAATGTCCTTTTTGACCAGGGAGCTAGAGGTAGGAAAGACTAGTGGCCAGGACCATGGTTTTAGTCCTGTCATCTACTTATCTGTTGTCCACCACTCAGTCTCTATATGCCTCAGTTTCTCCTCCTTAAAGAAGAGACCAAAATGACCTCAGGTGTTAGAGGTGGGTGGAGATCAGCTTAAAGGGAAGCCCCTGGGTACGTGTATGTGTCAGGTCTTGAGTTGATGGATCTAGAAATAGAAAAAAATATTTTCCTGCTTGAGCCCCAGGTCCTGCAGCTAGCCTCTCCTTTCCTCACACTTTGAACCTAGCTTCAAGGCAGACCCCAAACCCCAGTTGTCCACTAAATGCGCTCTGATTGGGAGAGAAGATGGGTTGATCCCCTTCCCGGGAGCTTGCTGGGACATCTGAGGCCCTGGCTCCTCTCTGCCTGCTCTAGGCACCTTTCCCTTGCCAGGAATATGCCCACCCCCATTAACCAGGCACTAGTTCTGGTAGTAGGAGATTGTAGAGAATAGAGGCTGAGAAGACCCACCTGAGCCGCCATGCTCAAGTCCTCTGTGGATCTATGAGTGCACAAAACAGGGAAGGTGACCTAAAAGGCAGCTTGGGCCAGTGAGACAGTGTCGGTTCAACAGAGCAGGACCCAGCCCTCTGGCTAGGAGTGCAGACCTCATCCCTGGAAGATGGCACATGAGACAGAGGCCACCTAAGGCGACTGCCCCCAGGACGCCTGAGCTGTTTTCAGTGAGTGTGTGCTTCCTTTGGCAGACAAGTTGATGGAAGAGACAGAAGAACTGTGCCTTCAGAGGGAGCAGAGAGAGGTAAGCACAGAGGGTGGCCACAGAGAAAAACTCTGCTCCCCCGCCCCCACGGCTGCATTCGGGGATGATGTTGGTGTGTGTGTGTGTGTGTGTGTGCACACTTAAGAAAGAGAGAGAGAATCCAGAAACTTGCCTGAGAAACTTCAGAAGGGATGGAGCCATGAGGCCACTGAAAGACAGTGTTTTCACCTTGCTATAGCATCTTGGTGGGAAGCATAGTTCTGTGAACCCTCAGGAAAAGAATGAGCGAGCAGGTCTCAGAGATAAATCCTTTTAAGCGTTTCATAAGTGACTTGCTGAGACCCACAGGAGCTTGCAACGTCCTCAGTTATCCGTGGTGGGGGGTTTCTGGTACGTAAGAGTGACAAGGTTTGAGGACCTCAGAGATTTCTTTACTCAGTTGACATCAACCATACAAGCCCTGTGGAGGCTCAGCAGAGGCTGAAAGGAGCCTGAAGGCCAAGGGGACTCTTGTTTCATCTGAGCCATTGACGTCAACTTCATTCCCACATCTGAGGGGCAGGGCAGGTGGTAGGCCGAGGGAAGCCTGAAGCCAGACTGCTTGTGGTTGTATTGGACCTTAGCCCTTCTAACTGGATGATCCCCGACAAGTTACTTAACCTCTCTGAAGGTCAATGTTCTCACCCAAAACTCAAGGAAAATAATAAGCTCACCCTTTTAGGAATGTTATAAAGATTAAGCAAGACGTTACGGCAAGAGCATTTGGCACGCCGTGTGTGCAAGGTGACCTTAGTACCTAGCTATTTCTCTTAGCATTATGCTCATTATTGACCCACACAATCCACTTCCTTTAGCCTCGTCACCTTTCACTGTCCTCTCTCAGGCCAGCTACCGGGCTGAGGCCATCAGCTGTACCTCAATGGCCGGCTGCAACTTGTCTCAGGAACTCAGCTCCTTCCCCACCACCCCTCAAGAAACACATGTCCCCCTCAGGCCCCAAACCCTCCAAGTCCTGGCACAGCACCCAGGCTTACACCCTCAGGCTTCACATGAGAGACGGTATCCATGGAAGGAGTCACGGCTGAGATGACGTGATCCCTGCAGCTTTACCTTATGGCTTCATCTCAAACCACTAGGGCAATCTGCTTCTGTTCTTCCAAATTTTTGCCTCCTGTGCTCGTTTAGTCAACACGAAGAACTGCATTAAAGGTTCACAGCACCAGGAAGGTGGAGAGCCACTGCTTCAGAGTCTTTTCATTGATTACAAATAAAAGAAAAAAAAAAAAGATTGAAGATTTTAATTCGGAGACGGGAGGTTGAAGTTGGGGTGGGTTGAGCATCTTTGAAAAGCATTTTCATGGGCATGAGCGTTTTGCCTAAGTGCATGTCTGTGCACCACATGTGGGCCTGGTGCCCAGGCAGATGGGGGCGTAGGACCCTCCAGACTAGCCTCATCTTAGTGCAGTGCCTCTTTTCCCCCAAAGCTTGAGCCCTAAGGCCTCCACACTCATGACTAGATCCCATTAGAATTTGGGCTTTTTCTCCATTGCATCCTGTGCATTTGGAAGTGAGACCCGCTATATTGTCAGAAACCTTAAGGACAGATGATCTGGGAGGCCTGGCATGGGCTGGAGTGGGAGACACAGCCCCCAATGGGGAGAGGAGACTTAGCCAACAGAGGTTGAATCTGGGGCAGCAATTGGCCCGAGGAAAATTTAGACACACTATCTAGGTCTTAGCTTGGAAATTAGGGCAGAAGAGACCCAGGGCACACAGGCCTCAGTTAATGCCATGGCACTGAAGTGGGACGCTGGCAGCTACAGGGCGCAAGGAAGGTGCAGGCCCAGCTGTTGATGGGACGGATGCTGCTTGGAGCAGGCAGTGGGAAGGGAACTACAGCAGGTTCAAGCTCCCTGTCAGTGATGTGTTGAGAAGCAGAGCCCAGACTCTGCAGGCACGACCAGACTGAGTCACTTTGCCTCAGGGTTTCTCTCCTTTAGTTTGCTCACCCATAGGGTATGTGTATTGTCCCCGTGCCTTCTCCATCCTAGTCTAGACCAGAAATGGGTGGAGGGTTTGGGGCCACATAGAAAGATTACTGTATCCCAGAGACAGGATGGTTCTTATAATGATGTGTGAGGTTTTGGGGGGACAGCCTGACCAATAGGGAGCCTCAGAATCTGCAGCCAGCGCCCTGGCTGGCTGATGATGTGGATGCCATTGGATTCCTCTGGACTTCAGGTTCTTTATTCATAATACCCAATACAAGTAACAGCTGCCTCTCCTTTTTCTGGGTTGCCGAGAGGCGAAATGGACTAGAGTTCTAGTCTAGTAACTACAGTGTGTGATGGTGTAGCCATGACATTTTTCATGTGTCAGAAAGAGCGTGCGACTCTGAGGGCCTGAGCCGAGAATGCAGAGATTGCTGCTTGGACATCTTTGCTAGGGCTGTTGAGCTTTACTCTTAGCACATTCCCTGTATCTTGACAAATGTAAAATGCCACTAATTCACCCTTTGTGACATCCCAAAGAATAGTTTCAGTGCCTTAAAAAGCCGGTATTCCGTGTATTCATCTCTCCCATCATTTAACCTCAGCAACCACTGAACTTCTGAGGGTCTCCAAAGCTTGCATTTCCCAGGATGTTGTGGAGTTAGAATCATAAGCCACAGAGACCTTTCAGAGCAGAGTCCTTTACTTAGTAAGGTGTATTTAAGTGTCCAATGTGCCTTTGTGTGGCTTGGACACTGATTTCTTTTCATAGTTGGATCAGCCTCAATTTATCTGTTTTCTTGCTGAAGGACCTTTGGATTGTTCCAAGTTTTGGCAATTATGAATGAAGATACTATAGATGTGGGTTTTTTTTTTGTTTTTGTTTTTGTTTTTGTTTTTGGTGGGGGTGGGGGTGGGGGTGCCTGGAGAGATGGCTCAGAGGTTAAGAACACTGTCTGTTTTTCCAGGGATCCTGAATTCAATTCCCAGCAACCTCATGGTGGCTCATAACCATTTATAGTGAAATCTGGTGCCCTCCCCTGGTAGTCAGGCACACATGCAGGCAAATTGCTGTATAAATAATTTTTTAAGTTTTTTTGTGGGGACAGGTGCTGTCAGTTCACTTGAATAAATAACAAGGGATGTTATATTTTTTAGACGTATGACTCAATATTTAATTGGGGGGGCACTCTTGAAATCACCTCTCTGACTTGTGTTATTCAGAAAGGTATTGTTGAATCTCCAATCACTTTGTGGATTTTCTTGCTATTTTGTTAATCAGTTTCTATATAATTAAGAGCAAACATTAAAAGATTTCCAGTCTTTTAAATTTGTTAAGGTGTGTCTCTTCCTGCAAAGTCTAACCTGTATTGGTGAATGGTGTATGTAAGCTTGGGAATAATGTGAAATATGCTATCATTGAATGGTGTGGTTTATTGATCCTAGTCAGTCTGATCTACCATGACAAACTCAGGCCAACTGGCTGAGCAATTCACTTTCCAGAGTTCCGGAGACTAGAAAATTCAGGATCAAGTTGTCAGAAAGGCAGGTTTTATCCTAAGGTCTCTTCCATTGGTATAGGCAGCTGCCGGCTCATGATATACTCTGTGTCCTCTCCTGTCCACACTTAGGAAGAGATGAAGAGCAAGCTCCCTGGTGTATTTGGAAGCTTTTCTCAGCAAAGACTTTTTTTTAAATAAAAAAAAAAAAAACATTTGTTTATTTTATGTACATCAGTGTTTTGCCTGTATGAGGGTGTTGCATCCCTTGAAACTGGAGTTGTAGACTGAGCTGCCATGTGGGTGCTGGGAATTGAACCCCGGTCCTCTGGAAGAACAAGCAGCCAGTTGGCTCTTAACTGCTGAGCCATGTCTCCGCACCCTGCAAAAACATCCTTTATACTTTCATAGTATGGCTTCGTTGTTTTGCTTTGGATCTTATTTGCTTGCTTGCTTTCTGAAGCAGACTGATATGTAGCGTAAGCCTTGATCTTCCTTCTTCCCGAGTTCTGCAATTACAAGAGCACACCATCAGGCTTGGCCGTTGTCCAAATGTCTTGTGTTTTGAGTCTTGCTGTGTGTGTGTGTGTGTGAAATTTCCCATCTTGCTACATATTTTAGTCATCTATTTTTACATATCTTTTTTTCCATTAAAGTCTTTAGCCTATAACCCACAGATGGTTTTATTTTGTTGTTGTTGTTTTTAATTCCTGGTCTGACAATTTTAACACTCCTGCCATCTGACTCTGGATTCTGACAATCTCTTCAGACTGTACATTATACCTTGTTTTGAGACAGAGATAGTACTATGTAGACCAGGCTCATGGATTTGCCTGTCTCTACCTTCTGAGTGCCAAGATTAAAAGCATGCACCACCATGCCTGGCCTGGAAGGCACTTGGTTAAGCACTTACTACATTACAAGCAGTTTGTGTGAGTGAGCTTGTGCAAGCCTCCTGGTAACTCTACAGTTAGTACTGGAACTCCCTCTCTCCTTTCTGCTCTCCATCTTAAGGCTGTCCACACTACAATCCTTAACTTCATTTTGCTATTTATGGGCAAACGACTCCGAGGGCGAACCTCTATTCTCTTCTTTCTGTTGCTCCCATCCTCTAATACCCAACAGTGAGGGCACATCTTGTCTGAGGGCTGGCTGTCTTCTCACATACCCATCTCAGGGGATGTCCCACCCAAGGCTCGTGCAGGTCAGGAACTTGGGGGCCGTGCTTCACCCTGTCCTCTCTCCTTTCCCCTCTTTCCCACCCTACTCCCAAGCCCAGCTGGCACCAGGCTTTGGCCCAATTAGTGCTGTCACCTCCTGCCTTGGCTCCTTAAACTCCTTTCCCCCACACTGCAGCCAACTCAGTGTTTAAGGGGAGACTAAATCCTGCTGGCGGCCAGCATCCTTCTGCTCTCGGATCTTTTGCTGCTGCGGCAGTGAAGGTGCACGTGGGCAATCTCAGCACTCAGTAGGGCTATGCCCGGAAGACTGTGAACTTGAGGCCAGACTGAGGTAGGTGGCACATTCAATGTGAGACTCCAAGCAACTGACCAACTGGCAAAAAGTTCTTTGCTTCTTGTTCAAGAAAAACAAACAAACAAACAAACAAACAAACAAACCACCACCACCACCACCACCACAAGATCCTCACCTAAGCCAGAAGCCCTGCATGACTATGGTGTCTCCTTTGTCAGCCTCCCTGCTTCTCTGACCCCAGCCTCTTGCCCATCATCTTTGCTCTCATGTCTCAGGTGGGCATGACTTGGTTCTTCTAGGCAACAGGTTTCTGCAGGGGTTTTGTATGTACAGTTCCTTCGCCTGGAGTGCTCTTTCCCCTTTCTTCCTTTTATTTATTGTTTGCTTGGTGATTTCCTGTGCTGGGGGCCTAACCCAAGGCTTTGTACTTATTAGGTAAGCCACTGAGCTAAATCTCGTATCCATTTATCTATTCACCTTTGCCTTTTAGTTCAAGAATCAACTGATTGCTCTTCTTCCCACTGCCACCCAGCTTGACCTGAACTGGGTTCCTGTCCTGCAGGATGTGGATCTTGTTTTTTAGCACTCTCTGATGTACCTGGTGGTTTTAGTGATGCCAGATTCCTGCCTTTGATCCAAAATCCTGCTCTGGGTTTCTTAGTAGCTTCACCAGACTGTAGGCTCCACAAGAACAGCTTCAGATCCTCCGTGCAGAGCCCAGCAGGTGTCTGGAACATACTATGCACTTGGTAAATAGATGTAGCGTGAAGGAATAGAACTATAAGAAAAAAACATCTCCCTGAGCTATTTCCTGGAATGGCACTGAACCTGTAAATGACTTGCAAAGAATCCTCCCTGTATTAAGTCTTCCCTGTCAGGGGCCCCTGTTGCTGCATTCCTTTCATGAGTATAATTAGTTTTATTGAGGACAAGAAATCATGGTCTGTGAAGCATGGCAAACAAGATGTGTTTAGCTGGGAGGATAAGAAACTTGGGAACAGGATGTTTTTGTTTTGTTTTGTTTTTTAAAAAAGAAATACTTGAAGGGAAAAGGAATTAGTCTTGTTGATGGCCCAAGAAGAAGTAGATTTGGTGAGGGAACTTGGGAGGGAGGCAGATTGGGGTGGAAGTGGAAGTAGTGGAGAAGATGGCACGCTTGCTTCTCCCAGTGCGTTACAGCAACCTGGAATGACCAGGTGCTGGCTGCTGCCCTTGGTCCGGCTGGTCTTCTGTTTGGCTCAGCACTGCCTTCTATCTCTGATCTTGTGGTCTGGGGATCCACAGGTCTCAGGGGCTCAGAGAGAATCCTGGAAGAAAGCGTGGTGATAAAGACCACCAGTGAGGCAGCTACTGAAGGGAGGGAAAATTTAAACAAGGGTAAGGGTGGCTCAAGGGACTGGGAAAGGAGTGGAGCCTTGCTCTTGGGTGCCTGTGAAGATTTCCACAGAATCTTCTTCCACCATTCACCAATTCTTTATAGCTGTGGCTTTCAGAGAGTGAGACCCAGAGCTGGCGGTGGGGGTGCGGTGGGGTGTGTTTTTTGCAGGTTGGTCAAAGCTGAAACAGGTTTTCTGATTTTCTACCTTAAGAGTCACTCAAGCCAAACCTGACCACCTGTTGGTAGAAACTCATTAGGGGGTTTAAGCATCCCACAAAGACTGAACTTTTTTTTAAAGTTGCTTTAGCCCTGGAGGGGTCTGGTTTATGGCAGTCAGTCTCCTGGTCCTTCAAGGCAGCAGCAAATGCTTCGTTGGGCATAGCTAGTCATTGACACAAGCAGAAACTTCTTATCACATAGGTTTGGGCCCACTGACTGGAGAAGCAAGGCTGAGTTTTTTCCGTTGCCCTGCTGTGTTCAAAGTTACTTTCCCTTTTGGGTTCTTCGAGGCACTGCCTTGTTGGCATAGTTTTAAAAATCTCTTATTTACATTTCTTTTATCTTTTTCTCCCTACTCCACCCAAATCCCTTCCAACATCCCAACACCAGGTAGGAGAGAGAAAGGGTTAGCAGGAAAAAGGGCACAGTTCTCTTTCTTAGCTGCTTCCTGCTGGTTAGGATCGTCAGGTTCCTTGGAGACAGTCCATGCTCGTTTCAGATTTCCAACTTCTTGTCTCACAACAGCAACCAGGAGCAGCAAGGGGGAAGCAGGAGCAGCCTTGTTCTTTCTCAGAGCTTCTCACTCTCTGGACTCTGGCATTTATTCTCTCTCCAGAGTCCTCAGATTTAAAGCATCTGCAGCTGGCAAAGAGCTCCTCTCAGAGCCAGCATGAGGCAGATAGTCTGCTGCTGTGGACCATCTGAATCAGTCCACATCCCACACCTGGGACCAAAATAAAACCATGTTTCTATCCACAACACTGCTGGTGCATGAGGAGCTTGAATGCTAAGAAAGGAGCGTCTCCGTTTCAGACAGGGACTGACAATTCAACAAAAGCTATTCCAGCAAGTGAAGGAGGTGGTTGTAAGCTGCAGTGCCAGGAAGCTTTCCGGGGGAGGGAGGAAGCAGGGCTGTGGGGTGGAGTCCTCTACTGAGTCCTGGATGATCACGTCTGAAACAGAAGCCTTGGGACCCGTGAAAGCCACCCTGGGGCTCAGGTCCTTGTGGCTAGGAAGGCCTATGGGCCTCTCAACAGCTCTTGCTGACAAACTGACAGCTGACAAACACCTCCAGAGAAGGACAGGTCCAGTTTGTTGACTCTAGAGCCAGAGAGGCTGTCAACACCAGCAACATCTGGAGTATTAAAGCAGAGTTTCATACTTCTTTTTTTAGGGCCTCAAGTTGTCTTCCGTTATTAGGGTATGGGGTATGTGCAATTTTAATTTTATTTATATTTTGTTTATACAAGGCATGTCAGATATAAATATATATAGGCTAGGTCACGGCTTCTGTAGCAACCCAAAGCCCTCATAATGTCATGGCTTTTCACAGCACAAATGTGCTTTCTCACACTGCTGTTCAGGCTGGCTTGGAGCACTGTTTCATATGTCTTCATTCCTGGGGATCCAGGCTGAGGGGGTTCCCTACCCATTCCAGGGAGGCAGGGATCATAGCCCCTCACAACCAATGGACTGTAGCTATGGATGTGCCCAGAAACATCAGAACACCAGGGAGCAGTCCAGGCGATGAGCACATTGGGCAAACTGAGGCAGTTTGTGCCAGCAAAGATTAGATGAGAAGGAAGTAACTCACGTGGGCAAGAAACTTAGGAGTAGGAACTGAACCCAGACTTTTTCCTCTCTCTATTTTATTCCCTCTCTGCATCTCTTCAATGGCAACATCACCCTCCACAGGCAGTGCTGCTCCCTGTCAAGGACACCATTGTACTTAAGAACAACCCCCCCCCCCCCCCGTCAGGTAACTAGAGAGTAGTTTAGAACTGGAGAGTGAAAAGCAGTTGCAGAAACAATGTTCCCACAACATAGAATGTGGGAGGGACAAAACAGTTGACACAAAACTACTGTGATGAGCCAGTCTTGGTGAAGCAGATTCCCTAATACCACCTGCTACTGACACAGGGAAGATCCGGTTCCTGGCCTAGAGGCTTGCTGGGAAACATTCAGGCAGGCTCCCTTCTCTAAAGGGACTGCTTTGGCTCCCTGGCCTCCTGACACTCCAACTCCCATAGGGCTGAGGAGAGGGAAGCCATCCACCTGCCTCATGCCTTGAGATAAAGGTGGTCTTGATTCCGACTCTCTGTTTGGGGATAGCTTCTCTTCACCACCCTACTTGATGTCATTCTGTATCCTGGAAATACACACTCCATGTTTTTGCTGTTGTTTGTTTGTGTGTTCCATGCTTGAGGCATAGCCACCTCACCTTGGGGTGTTAGTTCCTAGAGCTGCCCTGAACAACAATCAGAATTAGTCCTCTCTACTAGAAGACCCTTGTTGGGAGACTTTCCAACCCTGTCCTTCCTCTTGCTAACAGTTTTCAGGGGCAGGGTTTATCACATTTTTGGGTTAGTTGAGGCCACATGCCCCTGATGGAATCTGGGCCCTTCAGGACTTTCCAATTTGGCCATATGCCCCAGACTGAGCCAAATTCCAGAGGGCCCCCTGGGCTATCGAAAGGAAGTCATCTTCAGCCTGGGGTCTCTCATCCTCAGCCTAGGGGCTCTGTCCTTTCTGTGACTTTCCTCCTGTCTGATTCCCCTCAGGAGCTTGAGCGTCTGAACCAGGTGCTGGAGGCTGAAAAGCAGCAGTTCGAGGAGGTGGTGCAAGAGCTGAGAGTGGAGCAAGAGCAGATCAAGAGGTGGGCCTGGGAGGGACAACAGGGACGGGATGCCCTGGCCCTGGCAGACTGATGTTCACCAGACTTGGGCAGGTTTTTACCAGGAAACCACTTATGGCCTGGTCTTCCCAATGCTCCAGGCCTTGAGTAGACCCAGGAGAATACGGGGGCCTCCTCAGTGGCTCTTTTCTGCTCATTGATAATGATCTCTTGCAATGGCGTGAGCGTGAGACGGGGTGAGTGCAGGCCAGCCTCCCCCACGGAACAAGCCCCTCCTTATCCTTGTGAGAGCCACTTAGCCCAGGTTGCTGGCAACAAGCTGGCCTGGCCTAGAAGTGCGGCCAGCAAAGACTCCAAACATTCTCCGTCTCCCCAGAAGCCCGTTCACATTTTAGTTTTAACGATACACTGGGATCTCCATTATATACGGCTCTGGTTGCCGGTTGTAAGCATTAATTGAATGATAATCTCATGAAGGTATGCCCCCCAACCCAGCTGACTCAGATATAGTCTATGCAGAATCTGGGAACTATGCTGTAGTCGATGGCGTTCTGTGTCATACCACAAAGGCAAACACCGGTAGACACTGAATTAGAAGATAAGCCCCTCCTCCCCCCCCCCCCCCCCCCCCCCCGGCTTCAGGACTTCTATCTGGTTAAGTGACTCCGCCTCATTTGGCCGGGTTTTCATTCAGCCCTGACCTTGCTTTCAGTACCCAGCATTGCAGAGCACCCACGATCCAAGGGCCCTATGGAGTCACAACAGAAACGTGACTGCACACAGAGGTTGGGAAGGGTTCAGCGCGCTGCCATTCCAGCTCTCTGTCCCCGCAGGGAGCTAGAACTCACTGCAAGGTGCCTGAAGGGTGTGGAACAGGAGAAGAAGGAGCTGAGGCATCTCACAGAATCCTTACAGCACACGCTGGAGGTGAGGAGGCTGCTTGCCCAAAGCTGGATGTTTGGGCTCCATAATACTGTATTTTCTCATATGTTTCCCAGGGCAGGAGGATGAGCACGGAGGGGAACTTACCTGAAGGACCTTCCCTGTGCATGGTTGGGAGCTCTAGCTGGCACATGAAACCCAAAACATGGACTGGTTCTTCCCAGAGCCAGAACCGAAATCCCAGCTTGCCCTTGCAACGACCATGGCCTCAGGAAGCTTGCTTTCTGGAGGGCTGGTATTTTTATACCAGCGGCAGGATTGATTAGCGTGGGCGTTGGAATCACCCACCACATCCTTCTGTGGTTCCCTCACTTAGCTGCTCCTGGGTGAAATTAAGCATGAAGGGAAGTCAACTTCCTGGTCACCTTCATCTGATACAAGGAACTGGGCGGGGAGGGGCAAACAGCATGTGTCAAGGACAGAGAACAAACTTCTTAGCACAGCATGCAAGTACAAACCCTCACCTAGCTGTTCCTCCCCTGCTGCCCTTCCACACGCCCCCCCCCCCAAAGCCACCCCAGCCCTTGCTCCAATCACTGAGCTCATATCCCTAAGGAAAAAGCTTTTCATCTCTTCTTTGTCTGGAGAACTATTTGTCTTCAGATCAACTAAAATCTCTTCAGTCCGCCTCTCTTGGTTCTTCTAGGTGGGTATTTGCTCTGCGTTCCTGTGCATTTTGTATACCTGTTACAGGATTAACTCTGGGTTATATTTCCAAAACTGCAAACATCATTTGACCATGTCTCAGCAGCATCCCAAGGTCCAGCACCTGAAGTGAGCTTAGGGCCATACACCTTAGTTGAGTCCATGAGCTGTCATGAAGGCTGCGAGGGCTTTAGTCTCCCTTGAGTGACTGGAGCCATGGTTTGTTTTTCTTCCCCAGTCATGGGGAGTGGTTGCCATGGATATTTTCAACCACGTAATTTCATTGTAGTGTGAAGATCCCAGCTGATAAATACAGAGAATGTCTAAGTGTGCTCTTGCACTGATCCTTTTGGGTTTTCACATGAGTCCAATACGTCTCCTTTCTCCTTGGGGAGCAAGGGCCTCAAAAGGTCACATTGCACTTGGGCCTTGGGACCTAGCTCTGACAGGTACTGTCTCTATTGGAAGTCACATTGAGTTCCTCCTGATCTGTCTGCCTTGATGGAGGAGTAACCTGGCCATTGCTGTAAGAAAGGAGATCTTGGAACGAGACGTGTGAAATGCCCTTCATGAAGGACTGAGGGAGGAGTAGATTGCTCCCTGGAATTGTAAGGAGACCAGAGCAGCCATGCTGGAGAGCTAACCCCTGCTCCTTCCTGCCTCTGTGCCAGGAACTCTCCATAGAGAAGAAGAAAACCCTAGAGATGCTGGAGGAAGATAAGAACCAGCCACAGCCGTTGACCAATCAGAGTGAGCAGCCTCCTGCCAGTGATGATCTCCATAGCAACCTCAGGCAGATCGAAGAGCGGATACAGGAGCTTCTGGCAGAGAAGCTTCTGGCAGAGAAGCGGTGAGGCGCCTAATGGCTGGGTCCTCCAGCAGCTCAGGAGCTGTGGCTACCCTCATGTTAGACAGCTGGACTTGAGTTCTAGCTGTCACTGAGATGAGTCACTTACTTCCTCTCTGCCTATGGCCTGGCTTTCCCAAAGCTGACTTGACCAGCCATAGAGCATCATCAGGTCGTCCGAAAAGTGCCTGTGGCCAGCCAGCAGGTTCCCTTAGCTTCTACCCACCTCACCCATGAAGAAACTGAGCCTCACCGGGGTCGGAGGGTTTCTCTGAGGTCAGAGAAATAGCAATCCTTGAACCTCTAAGCCTAGGGCTCCCAGCACCCCCATACCATCCCTCTCATGACCTAGCTGACTGGACCCGGAAAGGACTCAGCCTTTCTTTAGCCATGTCTCTAGTAGGCGCAACCCCCTTTGTAGATGAGCACCTCATAAACAACCCTTCTCCCTACAGGATGAAGGAGAATGAGGAACGTTCGAGAGCCCTTGAGGAGGAACGGGAGTTCTACTCCAGCCAGTCCCAAGCCCTGCAGAACTCGCTGCAGGAGCTGACTGCAGAGAAGCAGCAGGCCGAGCGGGAGCTCAAGGTGCAGAGCATGCCGGGTGCTTGTGCTCTGGGCCCTCCAAAGGACCGGCGACTCCCACCCCTCCCTGTACTTTACGGTTGCCCTAATCCTCTCTCCCAGTATGTCCAGGCGGCCAGGCTCAGGGATGGGTTTATCCAAAGAGGTGGCAGTCTCTCTATCATGGATGGACAAGCGTTGGGAATTGGGCCGAGCCGAGCCGCCTGGCTCATGGCTGAGGCGTGGAAGCAAGATGTGGAAACATCCATCCATGCCTACTGAGCCCATAATGAGCAGGGGTGCTGGCTATTTTTCCCCATTACTGTGATGAAGTACCTGTCAGAATCAGCCTAAGGAAGGAAGGTTCATGGTTTGAGGGGGATATGGCGGGAGTAGGACGCAGCCGGCAGCATTGCCTGTAGATGATGTTGGTGATTACACACCTTCCCCCCTTTCCTTTTAATTCAGTCCGGGACCCCAACCAGCGGGACAGTGTCACCCACACTCAGGGTGCATCCTCCATCCTCAGTTAAACCTCCCTGAAGGTTAACAGCCTGGAGCGTGTCTCTTAGGTGATCCTAAATCCAGGACAGTTAGCAATGAAAACCATCACAGAAGCCTTCTGGAGAGGTGGAGCCTGCGTCCCGGACTCCTCTCCCCTCTCACTTGTCCCTCTGTGTAGGCTGAGGTGAAGGTGCGCATGGACCTGGAGAGGCGACTTCGGGAGGCAGAGGCGGCCTTGCGGAGCCTGGAACAAGGCCTCAATTCCAAGATCCGGAACAAGGAGAAGGAAGAGAGGATGCGGGCTGACGTGAGCCACCTGAAAAGTAAGGCCTTGCTCCAGGGCCCAGCCCTAGTCCCAGAGCTCAGCCCCACAGACCCAAACCCACTGGAGTCTGGAACAGGCCTGGCATGTATGAGGCGGTTCTTCCTGGAGTTGCTCCTCCAGGGACCTTCCCGTAGGAGTGGAGTCCCTTTGGCAATGCCTCTTTGTGGCACTTGAGCCTGGGGTGAAGGTATGGGAGGAACACCTGGAGTTTTGTCCTCTTTTCGGAAGCTCAGAGCTCTGTTCCCAGCAGGTCATCCCTGTGATGGCTATAGGTTGTAGTCTGAGGGCCAAACTGTGTCACGTAAAGAACAGGCCAACACGTCTCCCACCAGACCGAACCAGTAGTACTTCCTGCCACCAGGGTTCTTCGAGGAGTGCATCCGGAACGCGGAGCTGGAGGCCAAGATGCCAGTCATCATGAAGAACTCCGTGTACATCCATAAGGCGGCCACTCGCCGCATCAAGAGCTGCCGGTTCCACCGCCGCCGGTCCAGCACTTCCTGGAATGACTGTAAGCGCCCATGTGCCAGCACGGGGTCAGATGGCACAGGCTGTTGGTGGCAAAACAGGGAAAGGGCGAGGTTGCGAGCAAGTAGATAAGGCCCGGCAGTATGTCCTTGAATAGGCCTCTACCAGCCTTGGGCAGGAAGGACCAAGTGAAGCTCAGTAGCATGTAGGGCTGGGGTGAGGGAGGAAGCGCGGGGGGGGGGGGGTGTCTCAGCATGGGGGAATGCCATTCATGGGGCAATGGGTCCTTGTCTCCCCAGTGAAGCCATCCCAGTCCTTCATGACCTCCCAACTAGAAGCCAACAACATAGAGGAGCTGAAGGAAGTGGCCAAGCGGCTAAGCCGAGACCAGCGCTTCCGGGAATCCATCTACCACATCATGGCCACCCAGCCTGGGGCCTCTGCGCTCCCCCGGGGTGGAAAGTGATTGGGAACTCCTCCTCTGCCTCCCATCGTTCCTTGGTGGGACAGGAGGAAGGCCGGACTCCCCCTGGCTCCTCTTCATCAGAGCACCACTGGGCGAGGGGTGCCCTCATTTTCAAAGGAAGTGATACCTCCCTCTGCCTCACCTGGAGCCCTGACCTCAGAGGTCAGAAGAGAGTATTGGATCCCCTGGAACTGGAGTTGTGGGTGGTTGTGAGCCGCTATGTGGGCGCAGGGCGTCAGAGCTGGGTCCTCTGGAAGAGAAACAAGTGCTCTTAACCACTGAACTATCTCTCCAGACCTGAGCCCTGACCTTGGGTCTACGCTAGGTGGGATGGGTCCACACCTGGTGGTCATGATGAGGCCTGACTGTGTGTGGTATCTGTTGATCAGGAAGAAATGATGTCTACTCCATGAGGGTAGGCAGGGCCTTGCCCACTGTCAAGGACTGAAAAGCTTCTCTGGTACCCACCATTCCCCTCTGTGACTGCTGCTCAGCCTCTGGTCACATGACACCCTTAGCTTCCTCTTTACTCCTGGTCCTCCAATATATTTGTCGGGGACCTGTACTTATTCCATGTGCTTGGAGAGGGAAGAGCAGGCCCTAAGACACAACCCCAGGGCCACAGCACCCCTTACCTTCTCTGCGGTATCCTACTTCCTGGGGGCTGTCCTGGCTGCCAGCCACCTGGCTTCTCCATCTATAGCATCAGCAACCCACTAGAGGGTACAGGAGAAGTGCGTGATCCCATTTTTTTGTTTTTTTTTCCCAGCCTTGACTGAGAGCTCTTGACCCTCAGGCTTTCCCAAAGTACACAGCCAGACCAGGAGTGAAGGGGCCAGGCCTTTTGTATTAGCCACACTCAGGCGGAGGGCGCTAACAGCCAGACCAGGAGTGAAGGGGCCAGGCCTTTTGTATTATCCACACTCAGGCGGAGGGAGCTATCGCTGCCTCAGGCTCTCCTGCTGTTTTGAGATCCCCAAGGTCCGGCTCCTCCCCAGCTGACTCACCTTGCTGCCTCCTCTTGTAACAGATGTGATGCAGCAGTTAAGAGTGCTCGCCTCCCTTGCAGAGGACCCAGACTTGCTTCCCAGTGCCCACAGGGCAGCTCACAACCATCTGTAACTTCATTTGCCAGGAACCCAACACCCTCTTCCGACCCCCACAGGCACTGGGCACTCACATGGTGCATGTACATACAAGCAGACAAAAACATTCATACACATAAAATAAATCTTAAAAAAAAAATAGTTTGAAAGGGGCTGGGTGCTAAGACATCGGTAAAATAAAGCCATCCGTTTTCTGTTCAGATGACTGAAGGGTTCTGAAGGAGAGACCTTTGCCAAGGTCTGGGCTTCGCTGTTCTCAGTGGTCCCTTCTTAGGTTGTGGTCTCGGGTGCGGTGCTTTGGAATCAGTGCGCCTGTGTGTAAAATACAAAGCTCTGAATGTGTATAAACCTGCATAAACCTGAGGCTTGTCTCTAAAGAATGTACGTGGAGTGGACTTTGAAATGAAGATTTATCAAACCAAGATTCCTGGTTTTGTTTTTAAAAGAATTAGTAGCTTGCTCTCGGAGAGAATTTCAAATGCATTTGGTTCTCCCGGTCGAACTATTAACCAGAAAGAAAAGTATTGCTGTAAGAGAACACCTGCAAGAATGTATTGTGTCTTATTTGTTCATCCAAGGTCTTAGATGGCCCAGGCTGGCCTTGAACTCAATGCGTAAGGGTGACCTACTTCTGCCTCGAGAGGTCTTCAAGCAAAGAAGGCAGTACGCTACCAATTTAGCCACATCCCCGGTCCAGTAGTTTACGAAGAACGGAAGCTAGCTTTGTAGACCAGCTGACCTTGAACTCCGAGAGAGCCAGCTGCCTCCGGCTCAGTGCTGGGATGAAAGGCCGCCTTGTTGTTTATGGCTTTTAGTTTCCTGAGACAGGGTTTCTCCGTGTAGCCCTGGCTGTCCTGGAACTCACTCTGTGGACCAGGCAGGCCTTGAACTTAGAGATCTGCCTGCCTCAGCCTCTAGAGTGCTGGGATTAAAGGCGTGGGCCACCACTACCCAGCAACAGTTAAGCTTTAACATGAGTCTGGGAGGAGACAGACTCAAATCTCAGCACAGCTTTCAGAGCACAAGCACCAATTTTCCCAACTTATTTCCTCTGATTCTCACCCTGTACTTTCTGTGCCTCAGGCAAGTCTATTTTACCTCCAACCATACCTGACAGTACACACACACACACACACACACACCCCAACCAGCATCCCCATATGAAATATGGCTGGAATTACTTACTGGGAACATATTGACATGATATATTACATCCACAGTATATAGCAGTTCCTAAAAGTAACTTAATCATTGGCCAGTTAATAAAATGTGTTACTTCTGGCCATGTTTCCAAAGTAGGCAGAGGGGTCATTTCTAGAGAAGTGCTGCCCCCTGCAGGCCACCCCCGGAATTGTCTCACCACCAACTGATTTTTTTCCAGCCGAAGAACGAAAACCCCAGGGTTTACACCCTGTGACTGGCTTATTAATAATTAACTGAAAAATATGTGTTTCCACCCTGAGGTCCTGGATGTTCCCATGTTATAACACAATCAGCAGGATTTCCCTCTGATTTGAGTATAGTATAAAGGGAGAGCCTAAAAGAGACAGACTGCCTGCTGGCTTCAACAGCCTCATGAGGAATAAACCTGCCAGGGCTAATGCTTTGGTTTATAAAGAAGCACAAGGTGATCCAGAAGTGAATCACCAGATCCTCCTGTTATCCTTTAAGTTTCCTGGCTGAGGATGGATGATGTGTGCCATGCCAGGCTGCCCTGGTGTGTCCCGGCCTTCCCAGTGGCTCCCCATTTCTCTATCATGAATGTCCCCATGAGGACAGTCATGCAATGGCCACTTGCTCCTAATACTTTCCCTCGGCTTTAATGACTTTTCTTGATTCTGTGGCTGAATACCAGACACGGAACAAGGGAGGTCTTATTTTGGCTTGCAGTTTGAAGGAACCGTCCCATACGGTAGGGGAGCCTGGGCAATGACAGCTTATGGCAGCTGGCTGTGACAGTTCCACACAGATGAGAGTGTTCCTCATGGGGCAATCCATGCCAGGAGCCATCCCAACTGGAGCCCTCCAGTACCCTTCCTGTGTCCACCGCCCGTCCCTAAGGGCTTTGCCCTGTGTTTATTGAACGACATAGAAAAAAAAATTTATAGGAAAGGGCTGAGGGCTCCCCTGACTTAATTTTTCAAGCCAGAGTTTACAAGGAAAGAATTCATTTTATTAAGCCATACTGTCCCATAACAGCACTCAAAACTGCAAACAGATGGCATCAACCTATGTCCCGAATGTTGTTTCCAACGTTTATGCAGGACAATTAAATCATCAATTTCTATGTTGCCATTTTCATCTGATGATTTAACTAATCTCTGTCTGTCTGTCTGTCTGTCTCTCTCTCTCTCTTACACACACACACTGTTCTGGGTAAGCGTCATGAAAGAGTCACAAAGGAGAGACGGAGAATAGGGTTCCAGGGTAAAGTCAAGCATTGAGTTTAGCTTGTAAAAGTGGGTTACAAGGCAAGTCCAAGGCCTTAGAAAGGTTGGCTACATTGTTTCCTTAGAGCAAGGTAAACAGGCTGAATACACAGCAGGGAAACAGGTCGAGCACGTAGCTTTTAAGTGGTCTCCAGGCAAATTATTAACTTGGTTGCAAGGCTGCAAAAGTTCAGTCTCTGAAGACTAGAATATTTGCAGAGCCAGGAAGCATGGAGTCAGGAATGCTACTGTTTAGTTCTCTACAGTTAGCCACAGCCACCAGAGGTAGAATGGTCTTCCAACCTCCATGAACTTAATCCAGATCATCTCTCACAGATACAGAGGTTTGTTTCCATGGTGATTCGAAATTCCAGCAAGTTGGCAAGGTTACCCCTCACACCCCTCAAAGACACGTTAAAGGAGAAGGCAAGAGACTGGGAAAGCACCAACGACCCAGCCCAGGGAAGGAGCCATCTTCCTCTCTCCATCTCTGGAAGGAGGCAATACCCTCAACTCATGAATCACTCACAGCTTAGCCTGATCCGGGGAAGCCTGTTTGGAGGACAGATGCATGCCCCAGTCTCAGGAGCAGCCGAGGGTGTCAGCTGTGAGAAAACCACACAGCAGCTGTTACACTACAGAGCCAAGCAGTTTCCCTGCGGCCTCCATAGAGCCTCCACCGAGCCCTGTGCCTCTGCCAGGATGAAGCTACCTACTGAGCTCTCCAGCTCACAGCAGAGTCTACCCAGAGTCAGCAATCCCACTCAGAGAAACAGCTACTGGCTTCTCTCACCCTACTTCTTGTGAAGGGTAGAGGAGTAAGGCCCCAAGGGAGGGTGAAGCGGTTGGTTTAGCCTGGTAGAAAGCGAAAGCCGCTCCATCCTGTGGTGAGCAATCTCTCTGGATCCCCACAGTTGGAAATGGCAGCCTGTCCTGTGTCTCTATGGCTTTGCCTTTCCGGGTAGACTGGTGGTCAGGTGGGGAAGCCACGGTGACTTAGGGCTGTTCAGGAACAGAAGCTGTATATTTAGGGCTCCAGGAGCACCAGACGATGAAGAGAAACTACATTTTGGGACTCATGGTCCTAGGGGACCTGATGCCTGCTTCCTGTCTGCCAGTCCTGCTGTGAGCACTCGCCCCATCCCTGTTACCCTGTCCCAACCATGGCTAGTGGGCGTGGGATGTCTGAAAAGAGACTTCCGTTGCTAAGTCCTGCCTGCACTGACAAGACCCCAGGAAGAACCTTGCCTCTGTCCCTGCTCCTGTGGAGAGGTGGCCCTGATAGGGAGGGTCAAGCCTCTGCTGGCCGCTTGTTGGCCATGTGGCATTGGAGAGCCTCTATTTGTAATGATATCCGTATCCATATATTTAAATCCTCTTTAATCTCATGAGGTCCCATGTTGGACTGGAGCCTGGGTCCTGCTTCCTTCCTCTCACTTGAGCTCCAGGCCAGTTTTCCCAGTGGCACAGTCCACGTGCCCCACAGTCACATGGAGCCCTGATGGCTACGGACTCCAGCAGTTTACTGCTCTATACCTATAGAAAATTGCCTGTGACTGCCACTAGAGGTCAGGACAGATAGGCCTCAGGGAGGATGATCTGGTCCGTTGAACTCAGTCATACTGTCCTCAAAATTACCTGAAATTAAAAAAAAAAAAATCGAGCCTTGTGTGGTGGCCCACGCCTTTAATCTTAGCACTGGGCAGGCAGAGGCAGGTGGATCTCTGTGAGTTTAAGGCCAGCCTAGTTGAGTTACAGGGGTGGCTAGGTGACAGTGAAACACTGTCTCAAGCTAATTCATTATTTAATTAATTTTGACCTTGAAATGGGAGCAGGAAAGACAACCAATTTATCAGCTCAAGGAAAGAGCAATCATCACATAGAGAGTGCTTCTAGTAAAGGGAAGATGCCTATTGTCACCTTCACCCCATGTCTGGGGCCGTTTCCCCAATGTTTATTCAGTCAGTGCTTATCATGATTCTATAGCGTGGAGCTGTGCCCCTCCCATGGGCTTGGTTCCGTCCTTTAATGGGGTTTTTATTGTGGTAACATTTACAAACAACATTTATCACTTTAAACATAAAATTTAAACTTGAACTATTTCTCTCTGCCTCTCTCTTTTTTCTCTGTTGTCTTCTTTAGGGTTTCCATTGCTGTGAAGGGACACCGTGACCGAAGCAACTCTTTTAAAGGAAAACATTTAAATGGGGCTGGCTTCAGTTTCAGAGGTTTAGTCCATTATCATCATGGTGGGACTCATGGCAGGCAGACAATCCGAAGGAGGACACTGGATGTGTTTCACACTGGGCATTTCAGACCTTCAAGCCTCACCTCCACAGTGACATCCTTCCACTAACAAGGCCACACCCCCTTCAATAAAGCCACACTTCCTAATAGTGCCACATCCTATGGCCAAACATTCACACACATGAATCTACCGGGGCCACACCTACTCAAACCACCACATCTGTGTAGCCCCGGCTGTCCTGGAACTTGCTCTGTAGACCGGGCTTGCCTCAGTCTCAGAGCTCCGCCTGTCCTCTGCCTCCAGAGTGATGGGATTAAGGGTGTGTGCCACCACTGCTTGGCCACTTGAACCATTTCTACACATGTGACTTGGTGATATTCAATATATTCACACGGTTGTGCAATCAGTTTCCAGGATGCTCTCATTTGGCAAAACTCAAACTCTGAACCCATTAAAGAAAAGAAAACAAAACAACAAAAAAACACAATTCCTTACTTCTCTCCTGTGTCTATGACAACTTTAGATACAGATAGCTCAAGTAAGTGGAACTATGCAGTATTTGTCCTTTTCTTTACATGTCTATTTATTGTGTGCCGTGCAGCACACCTGTGGAGGTCAGAGGTTAACCTGCTGGAACCAGTTCTCTCTTCCCACCCTGTGGGTTTCCGGGATTAAATACAAATCGTCAATCTTTGTGTTCGATTCCACTGAGCCAGCTTGTGGTCCCATTTTTGTTT